TATGGGATCTTATAAGGGAACAATTACTCATAATGTAATCATTTGGTAATGAATGATTTTCACTGCAGCACCAACAAATGATTTCTTTTTAAGTCATAGATATGAGAATAACCCTGATGAAGGCCGGGGGGTTACACTCCCCATAGGTATAAATTAACCCAATAACATTCCCAGATGCGATGTACAGATACCTTATTTTGGTATGTTCTCCAAAATGACTGGGTCACCGCACGAGACCAACTTCTTCCTGTACGTGGGGCCTCGAAGGTGAAGTGTTGGTTTGGTTTTCTTACAGCAGGCGATTCCTCATCGCTACCTAACGCTTTGTCTGTATTATTTTTCTCTTGCTCAAACACTGCAGTGGAACAAAAATTTTATTTTTATTCATATTTTGAAGCTGTGTAAACATTACGAATCTGTGGGTGCCTTAGCTTCTGTAGGACTGACTTCAGATTGTCCTTTTGAAAAGCTCTTATAGTTACAAAGGCAACCGACTCGATGACAGGCTTTGGCGGAGTCCTCGTCACCAGAGTAACTGAGGAATCCCAGCCTTATTTTCAGTAGTTTGTATTTTAGGGGGAGGAAGGGAAGCCAACTGCTATGTAATTAAGATTTATCATCAAGTTGAGCTATCAGATACTAAGCTATCTTCAAAATTTGTGGCATAAGCGTACGCTAGTCATCTTGGGCCTATTTTATCCTCCCTGCCAATTTTTTATCCTTGTCTTTTTTGCTCGCTGTTAAGTCATTTCCCATAATTTCTGTCTGGCTTGCCATGCAGGGAGGTTCAGGTTTTGTTCTCTAGGGTGAAGTTAATGCAAAAATGGCTGCACCTGCAAAACAAACCAAAAAGCTGCAAATGCCAGAGCGCTGTTGTTCGCCCAGAGAACAGTCCCGCTTTTAACCCGCAGAAGATGGGTTGTTACGGTTCTTCTGCCAGGTGGCACCCCTTGCCAAGCTGGGCTTAACCGAAAGCCTGCCTTCAGTATTTGCAGATGGGGTGTGTGCCGCAGAAAAAAATCCAGACAAATAAATCCTTTAGAAGCCATGAGCATTCCTCCCCCTTGGGGATTGGCTTGTTTGGAGGCAGCCAGCTCATTTTTTGAAATATTTTTATGTCGCCTTCTCTGTCATTAGCTATTGAGAAGGGTATATAAAAGCTGAAACCAATTCTTCAAGTTTTGAAATCACAGCCAAGTCTAAAAGGCCACAGTACGAATTTCTGCTGTGAAGGGGCTGGTGCCAATTCAAGACCTGACCCACACTAACACTGATGCTCTCCAAGGGGGCCAGGCACTTCCCAAAGATACTTCTGGTGGAGGGGACAAAGATACCAGCCACCGATGAATCGCTACTCGGGACATATATCCACTGGCCACTATACCAAGAATGACCTAGCAACCCAATATTAATGCCTAGAGTGCCAGATGGGACATGGAAATTCGTGTGAAAACTTTGGGGGACACCTAGGACAAAGCAACAAACCTATTTGGCAATGCTTAATAGCTGACAGAAACTTCGAAGACACAACCATCGCTTTTTATAAGTAACTGCCATCCTTTATCATCATCATCCATTTTTTTTTTTAGCCTAGTTGCATTCTGCTTGTCTAATTAGAATTACTCTTGCTATTTCATTTAAATATGTCCTTGTATTTATCTAAAGCTGTTGCTGTACATGGTTAAGTTGCAGCATGACCCACGTCTAATGCCAGCAGCAGCTCAGACACGTTATACATATTTAATACTTTCACAAGACAGTAACACAAATACAATTTCTTAGAGACGCCACATTTATCATAGAGATGACTGAGAAAAAGCATGGCTACTGCAGGCTCTCAACTTCAGTACGATTACGGTCAGGAGTCTGCCAAAATAATAACAGGTTTTAATACGTATCCCAGAGGAGATATTTGCATCTCAAGCTGTCTGCTTGTGCTGAGAGACAGGCTTGCTTTTGTACTCCTCAGAGGAAAAAAAAGAAAATAAAAATTTGCCCCAAATGAAATTGCAGTGGCAACTGCCCCAAGTCTTATTTCATTTTCTACTGTATTTTTTTCCCCCCACTTCTCAGGAACGCTTATCTTACAACACTAGCCACAATACCTACAATTTCTTAGCAATAGATTGAGGCTTTCTGGAGCCAAACTATTTGTTCTGTGTTTGTACACTGCAAAATACAATAGGATCCCCATTCAAACCCGGGACTTCCAGGCGCTGCTGCGATGCCAGTAATGCAATAAATCACTTACTTTTGGTCTTTTACTTACAGCCCCTTGAAGCAGGTGAAAGCCCTGGTGACTTATTTCCCCGCTGTTAGCCACCCAGGCTCCAACACAGATTAGATTTTATTCAGACAATGCTGCTGTACTGCTCGGGCAGAGAAGCTGAGCTGCAATTAGATAAGAACCACATACAGGTGGTTTCACTTACCTTTGGGAGTACACAACTCGCAAGCCTTGCGCTGTTCGCAAAGATGACTTTTCATTGTTGCTGGTGGGGTGTTTTGGTTTTTTTTCCCCACTACACATCTATTTTCTAGATATCCAAGGAGAAATCAGAAGGAAACACGGAAGAATGTATGTCTGAGTGCCTGTAACAGATGATATGATGAAAAAAAATCCAGTAACTTCATATAAAAGCCTGGGTAACTCTTAGATAGCCATGTTTGCCTCTATGCTATCAAATCAGATTAACCAGGCAGAAAAATATACTATTTTTAAAACAAACAATGAAAAGAAGGGGGGGAAATTTACCTTAAAGGGAGAAAACAGCTGTTTAAATATCACCATTTCTCAACAGGACACATCGTTTCAAAGTAAGGTTTTGTAAGACTGAACACGAATACCCAGCAATGTTGGAATGCATCCATCTTCCTCCAGCTTTTCCATTAACAGAAGCCTTTCTATATAAGCAAGATTTATCAATACATGAGACCATTAAACAGATACGAAGATTGTATAGGTATCTGAGAATTGTTCTGTTGGGAATTAACAGATCCAGTTTCCTAAGTCTTGCAACATGCGACAAGGCTCCTTCATTTTTCTTTGAGGAGTGAGGAAGAACCAGTTAGCATTTGTCAGAGCAGAAGACTTCATTTTAAACCTTTTAAGCCTGTTACCAATGAAATGCCCAATTTACTTAAAAAACAAACAAACAAAAAACCCCCAACAAACAAAGGTGAGGGATGGAAAGCTTTACTTCTCATTATTTTTTCCACATTAGTCGTAAGACAGGTCTCCAAAACAAGAAGAAAGAGTAGTATGCCCAAACTTCAAATTTAATGCTCATTTAATTTTAAAAGGTTTCCCAGGAAATTTTGTTGCCTGTTTCTTGGGGTTTGTTTGTGGTTTGTTTTTGTCTTTACAATTAGAACTAGCTACCAATTTTATCCCGAGACACATGTCTGAATTTCAGATGTCTTTCGTCGCATGTGCCGTCTTAGCCTCAGACCCTCCAGGCAACGGGCAACTTCCCCTATAAAAGTGAGCACTGCAACCCAGGCTTCTCTCAAACACACTTTCTAATCAGGATTTGACAAGACAAAGGATCTGCTCTGTATCTCGGGCTTCCACATAATTCCTATCGGTTTGCCTACCTGCTGTGGTCTCACCCTTTCCTTGCACCAATGCAGTTCCTTTGACCACGCACTTTGATTTTTGAGCTCACTTCTGTAGATGGACGTAAGAACTCAAAAAACCAGACGTGATTCACTGGTTTCTGCCAGCTTGCTGAACTGAGATGCCTCTGTACGTGGTCAAAAACCAGCAAACGCCAGCGCACCCGAGCACTCGTACCTGAAGGCAAGAAGGTGATGGGAGTGGCCAGTTCTATCAGTTTATACCTGTGTGTAGGCAGCCCCAGATACACAGAACTTGTGTTTTCAAATTAGCATTTTTGGTTTCAAATTGAAACACTTTTGCATTCAGCATCAGCCTCTGGAAGAGATGATCAGAAGAGAGGGAAATAATTTTGCAGTAAACCATTGAAGTTGCTGCTTTTATTTAGTTTAAGTTTGGTTCTGCTCAGCCCATGCATGTTTCAGGTGGGATACCAGCTTGGACAAAATACTTCCCCAGGCTTGTCTGGGTATTGACTGCTAGATCACAGTTGAAATCAGAAATAATGTTTTCCACCTACTTTTTCAGTTGTTTTAAAAGCAGTTAAGCCTGTAATTGCAACAAAAAACAGGAGCTAGATAAACTACTGGATTTTTAAATTAAAAAATTACATTCATTTCAGTCAGTCTTCAGCTCAGTGCTGTAAGCCTGATGTTGAAATTCAGTTTGTAAATCTGGCCCATATTTAGCAGAACAGACAACCACTGCATAAGCCTGATGATGGAAATTATTTGATTTTTACAATAAAATCAAAAATGTGTTTTTATCTCCAGTCCATGTGTTATCAGCCCTCTACATCAAATAAAAATATTCATATAAATATTTTTGCATAACTTCTCAATTTGCAGTCCAGCCTACCTACATTAAAAAAAAAAAAAGTGTTTTTAACATTCAGAACTGAAGCCTTTTCTCCTACCTTTATCTCGGTTCATAACTCCAGGCACATTTTTCTGAGGAGCCGACAACCTTACAAGGTCTTAAAACAAGGAATTACAGAAACTCAACATCTCATTACTTGAGATACTTGCTTCAAACAATTAAAAGATAGTATCTGACTCAAAATAATATGCATCATGTAAGTTTACGCAGCTGAGACTAAGGAGGTCTCAAAAATGCAGGAGGTCCAAGGTGTTATAGATGCTTTATAGCACTCTAATTTTCTTTTCCAACAAATCACAAAAGATTGGGGTAGAAAAGAACATAACAACAACAGATTTCAAGTTTTTCTCTTTGGACGCCCACACACACACAGGGTGTTTATGTTATGTCCCTAGAGATTGTAACACCCAATTACAGTGGTCTGAAAATAGTACTTGAAATGGAAAGTCAGAACAGAAACACACAAACGCAATGCACTTGAAATTTAACTTTTATTTTTCTGTTGATAAAACCCAAAGATCCCTCACAGCAGCAATAGAAGCAGAAGTTATCCGCAGAACTGATACATCTTCTTAATCCGTTTGCAAGCCACGTGTGTAGGGACTGCATATTAACACAGTACAGGCACTGCTCAGTAGTAACAGAGATCAAGTTTCTTGGCATATTTTAATCCACCCTTTCCTTAATGTTATAGGGGTTTCATAGTATTAAAGACGACTGTTAATGAGTTGTCTGCTTATTGGATTTTTTTTGTTATTATTGCAATTTAAAAACTTTTTATTAAATTCTGCAGGTACAATTTATATGCCCAGATACACCTCCCCACATTTTGTAGCAGTTGACAAAACTGCATCCAAATGCTACAATTCAGAATGAAAACGCTACTGCATTTAGCAGCTCTAGCCAGACTAGAGTGAACATTTCCATAGAGTAACAAAACACACCTCTTTGCTCAGTAACACAAGGGATACAGGTTTTAAAACACACTATCTTGTATCCATACCTTTCTTTAATATATATATATTTATATATAGCTCTAAAACAAATCTCTACTATTTTACAATTAAATTAAAACACATCCACAATTGGTCTAACTAGTGATTTTGGTCTCAATACTTTAAACATAAGCTGTTCCATAAAAATATACAATTCAGCAACATGGTTGTATCAGTAACATGAGGCCTTTTGCAAGAAGCCTATGACAGATATCGACCACGCGATTCAGTGCTCAATGTCATCTAACTGATAAATATTTATATTGCATTTTCAATCTATCAGTATCTTGAAAAACCAGATTTGTCTTTGCAGGCTTACCATGCTTACAAACATGCAGAGAGCAATCACATTTCTCACTTGCCTGTAGCAATCACATTTTTTTTTCTTTTCCAGTAGATCAACTGAGAAAGCACAACTTCATGCTGTCATTTTTTAGACAGCTAACCTTTTCCTTTTTTTCACATACTGAATTATTTCACAATGGATCATACTGCTCCACGTGAAAAGACTAGGAATTAGCCACATAGTAAGAACTGCACTTTTCAGTTTAAGCCTCTAAGAATCAAATTACTAACAGTCAGTTAGGATGCACTCATAGCTGCCATACAAGTGAACAGACACCCAGTAGACAATCAAGTTAATTCTGGATAGATACCAAAAAGGCAAAGCTTTAAGGGGAAAAAAAAAAAAAAAAAAAAAAAAGAACCAAAACAAACCAAAACAAAAACCAGCCCAAAACCTAAACAACGCAAGTACAGCCTCAAACCTGGTAGATTCCAAGAAGTGGACCTCTGTCCAGAAATGTTTCTTTGAAACAGCACACAAAAAACGTGCCACCATCAACCACGCTTGAGGTAAGATATTAATCACTTATACCTGGAGATTTCCTTATTACCACCACAGCACCACTGCACAGAAGGATTTATAGCAATGGTGATGTAGTACAAATAAGAACCCTCCAAGCCAGAAGCAGTCAGTAATAAAACCCCAGACAAGCTCACATGTCAGGGTATCCTGGCACGTAAGCCTCAGAACATTTACTCTTATAAATGTAATTATCAATAATTTAGGTACTAACTATTCCAAGACCAATACAGTCAGTCTGTAGATAAGACTACAACAGAACATACTAAAAAACACAAGGGGTATGACAGCTAAGATGAATATTTCTTTTAAACAGCAGGAAGTCAGGGAAACATCTGGAACTCTTTTGCACTGCATTAGTGTATCTTCTGATCGTGAGCATAAAAATCCATCTGCAGAGTCAATCCAGAACTGCATACACGATTACATTTTTCCCCTTACTGCTTTAAAATTAGTACAAAATAATCTAAGTTATGGGAATGATTGTTGCAAATTTATAAATGCCAGCTATTACAAAATCATTATGTGAGAACACCAACTGTAAATTATTTACAGGTGAGGTAATACTATTTCCAGAGTAACAAAGTACTATTTAGCAGAAGTGTAAAAATAATGTACTCACCAAAACATTACAAAATCTGGTATCGTTATCAGCTACACAGTAGATCATGATTAGGTTTTGTAGTTGATATACAACATATTCTTAAGAAAAGTGCCAAAATACTGCTACATAAGAATCTTTTTTCCAAAACCATTCAGAAAAAAACCTGCAGATTCTATGTTAAGTAATGCCAAAAGAAAACAGGAAGAAAAGGATGCCAATATGTAGAAATATGTCTTATTAAATACCTTTGAAAAATCTGTAAATTCACATGCTTAAAGGTCTCACATGAAAGAAACCTATTAAAAAAAAATCAATAGAAATATCAACATACATGCTTTTCTCAGGGTATCTTAGGCCATTTTAAAAGTACACATTCCTCTTAAGCTGTGAAAGACATGGAGATTGAAAACATTCTAACAATGGCTGAACTGCCAAGGGTTGTTGCCATCAGTGGCACAAAGTCCTGTTGGATGCCAGTCACTACCGATGCACCCCAGGGTCTGTACTGGGGTCCATTCTATTTATTATTTTCATTAACAACATGGGTGACAGGACAGAGTACGCTCCCAGCGAGCCATTCAGAGGGACCTCGGCAGGCTGGAGAAATGGGCCAACAGGAATCTCCTAAAGTTCAGTGAAGGAAAGTGCAGAGTCCTACACCTGGGAAGGGATAACCCCATGCACCAGTACAGGCTGGGGGGCTCACCAGGGGCAAAGCTGCCTTGCATAGAACAGTACCAAGGTGACCACGAGCCGCCGATGTACCCTCACTGCAACAAAGCCCAGCAGCCTCTGGTCTGCAATAGGAAGAGCATTGCCAGCAAGTTGAGGGAGGTGATTCTTCCCCTCTGCTCAGACCTGGTGAGACACAACTCAAGTGCTGGGTCCGGTTTTGGGCTCCCCAGTTCAATACAGACATGGGCATACAACAGCAAGTCCAGAGAGGGGCCACGAAGGTGATTATGCGACTGGAGCATCTGACAGTCAAGGGGAGGCTGAGAGAACTGGGATTGTCTAGCCCAGAGAAGAAAAGGCTCAGGGGTGATCTTACTAACGTCTGTAAATGCCTGATAGGGCATAAAAAGAGCCAGATTCTTCCCAACCGGTAGCATCCAATGGCTGGGCAAGAGGCAATGGACACAAATGGAAATATAGGAAACTCCATTTCAACTGAAGAATGGACCTTGGTAGTGTGAGGGAGATTAGAATACTACAACAGGTTGCCCAGAAATCTTCTGATGTCTCCATCTTTGGAGATACTCAAAACCCCAGCTTGTCAGAGCCCTGAGCAATCTGCTCTAGCTAACCCTCCTCTAAGCAGGGAGGTTGGACTAGGTTATCTCCAGGAGTCCCTCCAACCTCAATCGTTCCATGATTCTATGAAAAGGACAGTGCCTTTTGTAGCCCAGGCATTGGATCAACTGAGTCACAAAGCAAACTATAAAATGTCAATGGAATATATTTTCTCTTTAAGTTATTGCATACAACGTTAATTTTGCTGCCTGCGTTTTGCCGATCTCATTTTTTCAAATCTCGATTCCATTTCTTCCAGGACCTTCGGCGTGTATCGCACAACTAATTTAACCTTTCCTTGAGCTGCCTTCAGCAGTTCCACTGCTTTTTCATGGTGTTCACCTTCGACACTCTGCAAAAGCATAAACCATTAGGTACAATATTAGTGAAGACAAACACTGAAAACAGATCTTTTTCATTTTTTGTACAACCTCTATATAATCAAATATTGAAGTATTCTAGTTCGAAGACTGCATAAGGACATCACCCAAGTCCAGGATTTATTCTTCAGCAAATCAGTAAGAGGTGGCAATAAATATACTAATTAGTATTAACAAAAGAGTAGCACAAAACTTTTGGTTAGGTTTATGCTGAACAATTAAATTGTGTCTTTACATACAGTAAGTGAAATAAGGGTAACATTACACAATTATGAAATTACACTTAAAAATCAACAACTTCAGAAGGACGCTTATTTAAAATTCAAGGTTTTTTTTATCTTCTTTTGGCATGCATTTTAAATTCAGTACTCATCCTCAATTTGCCTAATAAGTTGCTACAGACAACTGCAAGATAGCTGCCTTCTTGACATTATCCTGTGTTATGACAAGGCAAAACAGTGCATACTGGGCACCTGCAATAGAGCAGCTAATGTGCAGTGTGTTGCTTATCTTAGTGCTCCACACGTATCTGTAAATGTGAGGTATTCAAGTTAATTTCCTCTAAACTGATTAAGAACAGCCTAACGCAACTCAGTAACAATAAAATAAAAATGCTTTCCTAAAACAACTCTCACAATTTATTAGGGTTGTATTAGATTCATCTAATTACAATTTTTAAGCAAGAATTCTCAACAACTGCATCCAAATATACATTTCTGGACAGCATACATTTTATCAGCAAAAGTTATTTCTCCCAAACTTATTAAACACAATGATGGGACTACCCCAAGCCTACCTCCCACTGGTGCTATTAGAAGCTAGAAGGCAGGTGCTGTACCTGTTGATTGGAGGGTTTCCCCGTTACTATAAAGTTACTTACAGAAAGAAAGACAACAGTTAAAAAAACCCAAGTTATTTCTCTTCTATCAGACTTAGACAACACATACATTTGAATGTTTTCATTCCTGTTATTCAAGTGGATGTGTAGGCTGTTCTGTTTAAAACTGGTAATAAAAGGATTGTAAAGTTCTAATTTTAATTGTATCAAAACACCTAAAATTCTAGAGTAGACTCAATCTCCCAGCTGAAAAAAAAAATAAACTTGTTTTAAGGCACATTCACTGCCGTCTTAGCAGTGGCAATTTTTTTTTTTTAAGTATTAAATTAGAAATTACAAGAAAATGCCTGTCATATGTATTAAGACGACAAGATACAACCAGTAAACATCAGAAGATTCTTCTTCTGAGACCACATGTGCATTCTCAACAGTATTTTATGCACTCACTCACTGTATTCTTACAATGGCTACATATAGTTATACATGTGCATGCACACACACACAGTCGTCGTTAGCTGTACCAACTGTCTGATGATCAGGTTCAGTCTGGGGTAGAGTGGTGGTTTTGTTTTCTTTAAGAGGGTCTGTGGGTGAGGAAGTCCTCATCTGAAGACAGTTCCACACCTGTCCCTCACTCAAAATAATAGTAAGTTTGGGCCAAGGACAGTTGCATCACTACGGCCATTTCTCTTATATCTCCTGAAAAGGGCAGTTGGACTCTCAGGTAACTGTCAGGAGCCAAGTATGTCAGAGATCTGTGTCAGCAGGGACTTCCCAGAATACAGACACCCAGTAAGTCTCTATTCCTGTCACGTGTCAAAAAACCCCACTCAAGTTAAAAAGCCCAGGATTTAGTTGGACCCTCAGTCTTAAAATAAAATTGGGTTTCCAGATGTGATTTTGAGAACATTACTTTTAAGCTAGCATACAGCTTCTCTGTATAAATAAATAAAAGGAAGAGTTTGAGAGATATTTACATGCATTTGACTAGCAGCTGGCTTAAGTCAAACGCTGTCCACAGCCTCCTCTTTCCAGTCACCCTGTGTTTTACTTTTTGTATTGTAACTCTTCAAACAGGATACTTATTAAAAATAAATATCCACAACAGCACTTTAGACATATAGTCCTTAGAATATGCTAGAAAGCCTCTGTTTTTGAAGCTCAGTACACTTACGTGGAAGAAAAAAAAAAAAACAAAAAACCACACAACTGAAGATAACACCACCTTGTAGTTCCATCTTATCACTGCCTTCATTACACAGCAGAATTTTTATTGGGATAATGAGAATCTGGTCGGTCTAATGCAACATAGCATAATTTACTACTTACCTTAGAAGGTGCAGTAAACTATATTAATTAAAATCTGCATCATGAAACTTGGATGAAAGAGGAAGCCATAATGGCAGTTTAATACTATTTCACAAAACAACACTTGGGCTAGATTTATACATGCCCTCAGAATCTGAAATACTGACATAAATAGCACAGTTCCCAGATGCGACTGATAATCAAAGTATAATCCTAGAACTCTCAATGCACACTAGTCTACAGAAACCTAAGCAAGTTGTTTGTGCAAGGACAAAAAGAAACGATTTTGCCAAGATTAAAAGCCGACATCGAGCTTGTGCCATGTATATTCTCTGTACGCCCCCACGTGGAAGTAAGTAGTTACTGCTACATAAAGTGAAAACCAATTCCTACCACTCCGTTTACAGAAAGCAGCTGGTCTCCACGTTTCAGGCCTCCGTGTCTATCAGCTATACCGCCAGGGATAATTCGAGAGATATAGATTGGAGAATTTTGTTCTTTGCCTCCCATAATGTTGAATCCAAGACCTTCTTCGGTTTTGGGTAGTTCAACCACTCTGGGATGGGAGTGACCTTCACTAGCAGCAAATGCAGCGACTGTGGCCTGTAAGAAACAAGATTTTGCTATAAAAAATTAAATATAGACCCCTTAGCTAGACACAGTGAGCAGGATGAAAAAGTATTTTTATCTCAAAGTACTTAAATATTAAGACAAATGAGATTAATTCCCCAGATATGAACACTAGCATGAAAAATCTAGAGCTCCAAAAATAAAATTAAAACAGAAGAAACCTAAAAATAACAAGTCTTTTGTTATACCTTTTAATAACCTGTCAAGCTTATCCATTTTATCAGACATTTAGATAATATCCTTCTGAATTTTAAATAATCTTCTGCTTCCAGAGTAACAAACTACTGTATTTTAAGCAAGTTTTAGTTCAGCTTTTACCTTTGCTGTTGCATTAGCTCTAACTTCTGGGCTACTGCTGATATCCACAGTTTCGTATACATGTTCATACACCTTTAGAGACAAAACAGTTTAAGTATGGGGAAATGGGTATTTTTCTGCTTAGATAACATAACAAAATATCAGGTACAACTTAAAAATGTGTAAATTAAAAAGTACACACATTTAATAAAAAGTTACTCTCCGATTCACACAAGGTATCAAGTGATAGTCTACGATACTATGAAAGAACAACTCTCTCAGCATCTTTATTGCTCAGTTAATCCATGCATATCTACGTCTCAGCCTAAATCTTCCCTCCTTCTACAGCATTCAGACCTCACGATTAATTTAGGGGTGCTTATGGCTAGTCTAACACACCTGACTGGAGAGATGGATGACTGCCTTCTCTTGTTTTGATTCAACCTGGAACTCTTCAGTAAGGATGCACGCAAAATCACTTAAGGGCAGCTGTTCAAAGCTCTCCCCAAAACCCAGCCCTCCCCCCAAAACCCTGTATGTTCCTTCAACTGATGCAATTGACTGAATATCTTAAGAAAAAAACAGTATTGAAAATACAGAGGCAGTAAGAATTGACTGAATATCTTAAGAAAAAAACAGTATTGAAAATACAGAGGCAGTAAGAACACTAATGGTAAGGAGATGCTTACACTGAGAGCTAACCCACATCCTCGCATCTACCTGCCAATCACTTGGACTTGCTAAGCAATAAACATACTGTCCTCAATAGGATGAAAACATTAAGATGACACCTCTGTCTATGAACAGATCTTTTTAATCATTCCAGGTGTTATCACCAGTGGCAGCACCAACAGCAATAGCAGGGCATGGTCAATCACTTAAAAATCTCCCAAAGAGTATCTGAAATGCAGATGAGGTGGTGCAAGGCTCCACCTCGAGGTGATGTGGATTTGGCTTAAAAGAAAGAAGAAATTTGCACTTTGTCCATTCTTACATTCCAACAAAGTAATAGCCTGCTATCTGCCAATAAGGACAGGCTCTCAAAATAAACTGTAAGAAGTTAATTAATACACCTACGCTATCCCAAATTATCATCTTTTGAACTTTACAAAACAGTCTTGGTCTGTTAAGCTCTGTAAGTCAAATTCAGCACTTAGAAAGAACAAAATCAGATTATTGCGCTGAACAAAAAAAGGAAAAAGCATAACACACTGGTTTTTAACTCAGAGTAACTGCTTACATCAAGTTAACTTACCTCCCTTACAGCATTACAGAATTCGCTTTGAAGGACCCTTTGCAAAGCCTGTAGCTTTTGCGGTGGCACTTCTCCGCTTCTTTGTAATTTTTCCAGCAATTCAATTGCTCTGCAGATGTCTACAGAAAAATAAAGCACTAATAATGAGGAATGCCTAAGGAAATTCAAGTGGTTTTTGTGTTTGTTTGTTTTTTTAATTAATGGAGCAGTCTCTGTGTGTGTACCTTAAAACTATGTATTAGTTTCATTTCTCCCACAAAACTATGTATCTACGAAATGTTACAATAAACCCCGTATTTTCCCACTATTTCTAAGTCAACCACAGCAATCCAACCCTGTAACATATCTGGAGATATCACTGCCGTATGTAAATTCTAAAGAAAATCTGATTTTTTCTTGAAGTTTAGATGAGGCTGAAATATTTCACTGATATACACAGTATCAACATTTCATATGCATAACTTCATAATTTATCTACTGCATGGATAACATTTTGTTAAAGCCACCTAAAATACGGTCAAATACACTAACATTCCTCTTATATTCAAAATAATAGTTCAAGAAGAGTACAGTCAATGCTTTCCCTACAACAGGGCTGAGAACTACCTGGCCTATTTTTCCCCCACCCCCCCGAAGCGCTCAGAAAAACCACCAAACTCCTTTTGATATTCTCGGCTGTGAGAGAAAATCTCTGTAGTCTACAACTGTCAACCCCAAACCTCTTTGTTCCAGTTCCTAGAAATTTGTACCTAAGAATTCACGTTGTCCATAGTCTCACAAATGCAGATGCTGCTTTATGAAACTGAACTGTGAAGGATCTGGTTCCAGACCAGTACAACTCAAGACAGGCATAAAACACTATGCGACATGCTCCTAGAAGCTCTACAAGAGTAGAATACCTTAATATCCCTCACTTGTATTTCCAAAGTGTTACGTTAGTGATGATTCTGAATCGCGCAAGCCCTTGAACAGAAGTAGAACAGTCTCTCAGGAAAGCAGATAGAAAGTATTACCTTCATTATCACAAAGGCAAAGCAGCAGTGATTTGTCTGCTATACAAATAACACACAGATTATTTTAGGAAAGGATGAAGTCCGGGACAGTGCTATATGCCAAACACATTGCTTCCTTTTTTCAACCTTTAGGCAATCATTTTTCATGTGAATGCACATCTACTCAACAGCATCACGTCAGCACAGAAGATGTGCAAGAGACATGAACTTCCCCTGAAGGCCAAGTGTAAGAGGAGAAAATTTACGTAACAGGATGAAAAAAAAAGTGGAGTGTATGTTCTGAAATGAAGGTGACATCCACTGGCAAGAGACAACCCACAGTTATGTTCTGTCAGCTTTGGTAAATTACCAGGCACCTGTTACTGACTACTAAACTGAGATCAAGTGGTGCAGTCAATTAAACAAGGTAGGACTTAACCTCACAGACTGGCCATCCACCAGCAGTTAAAGCTGTGTCTGTATCATGGACTGGAAACAAACCCTTTATGGACAAACATCCAAGTATTATCTCTACGGCCACAAGACACAAATTATTTCAGATGAGAGTTAAGGTTTCTATGTGCCATGAGAACTCGGCAGTTTTTGGCAAGCATTTTCAAGCTTCACAAGCATCAGGTATCTAAAGCAAAGGAATATGAAAACCTAAACTTTAGCTATTGCTAATCCCAAGTCTACAGAGAACTCATTTCACACAGGCATGCGTATTTGCTATTTGTACAACAATTACAAAATGGAAAAAATGCTTCTAAAGCTTTTCTTTTCCTACCACACATTCTGTATTTTATTTAAGGTACAACATATTTGATGAAATTGAAGAGATTCTAGATGTGATTGTTTTTTCAATCTTTTTATGATGCAAAATCACCATTCTTCGTAATATTTGTTTTCAGGAACAGCAGTACAAATTCTCTTGATTTCATGAAGACTTGCACTGAACAGCTTAAAGTAGAATGATCACCAAATGGCAATAGCAGCACTTCCGATCCTGCAACACTCCATACATTCATGAAAAAAGCCTAGTAAGTATGTAAATTACAATACAGCTATCATTTAAATACTTGCAGATGTTTGCAAACAAACAACTATTTTGTGCACATAAGGAGTACAGTTCTGTGCAGCCATTCTTGAGTCTGTGGTGCGTGAACTTGTTATCTAATGGTTTGATTAGTATACTGCAAGAAATTTTCAAGGATGGCAAAGATCTGATCCAAAGAGCAGCTGCAGAAATCAAGACTCCAGAACTCCATTTGCTAGTTTCTCCTCTTTTTTGACCTCCATGTTTCATCAATAAACTAGATACATTTCCTACCTGGATCTCCTGAGAGCTGGAATGTTTAACTACACAGCATTTTATACTCTACGGTAAAATTGGCTAGCTTGGGAACCAGCTGTCTTTCATAAAGCACAGACTAAGAGCACAGATTCAGCTTGTCAAAAAATGACTGGGATACACTGAACTAGATTCCTTTTAGATGAAACTAAAGCAGAAGATGTACTTTAATAAAAAAGGGCTTTCAGAGCAAAGGACCAAGCTGCTGCTGTAAAGTAAAAACCCAAAGCAGACAAACACAGCATGGAAGCTGCGTCCTCAGCACTCTACAGATCTCCTTTTATCACACTGCACCTCTTGCTCAGGTAGATACAGGATCCCATTACTGGGACACTTTTCCCCAACAGTTATTTTGGTTTACCTTGTTGACAGGACCTCATTATACCAGTCTGAAAGTGAAATAAGCGTAACTTTCTCATACTGAACCACATTAGGCACTACTAGCCAAAAGATGGTGATTCAATCTCTCCCAGCAACACTGCTCTGGAAAGGAGCTACTTTGGCTGGGTGGCAAAACACACCTTCTTACAACTGTGCCCAGAGAAGAATAGATTGTTGACTGCTCTGCTGATGTAGTTTGCTTCCTCGTGAACTTCTGCTTGGGGTATGATCAGCTGAAAGCTGTCTTCCTTGCAATATTAACACTATAGCTTGGCCAACTGTTCTGAACCAGAGACTGAAATGAACACTACATAATTGTTTCCATGATGGATTTCAACAGAGAACAATGCAGAAATAACTCCAGAGGTAGGTAATAAAAAAAAAAAACCCCAACATAGAACTTATTGTAAAACGGAATCCAGACATAATAAAAAAAAAAATATTTTCTTTTAACCTTTTCAGCCTTTTTGCATCAGTTGCCTGTTCTTCACAAATCATTTTTTGTGATAACAGGACACTAGATTGAAATTCTGAAAAAAAAAAAAAAAGATACATTTAAACTAAAAGAATGTGGAAAAAAAAAAGTCAGCAAGATGTCACTACTCCAAGCATATGTGAACAAAACACAGAAAGAGGAAAAATGCAGCATCCTCATAGATACCCCTAATTAACCACCTCCACTGCTTATGTTCAAATAGTCTGGATTCCTAAGGCGTACGTAGAGTTATCACACAGCACCGCAAAAACTTAAGGATAACTTTGAAATGTTACTTGTTTTTTCATCCCTGCACTCCAGTGAATTTGGGTGGTGGTGTTTGCAATACAGTTTAGAGGAGAGAACAGACGGAGAGAATTTTCCACTGCCCTGATGGTAAGCATATGGTAACCATTTTAAATCAGCTAATTTTCTACACTATTCTCTCTTTTCTTATGCTATATGTCAACAACACTAGTGATGTTCACTTTCAAGCTGATGATTCATCATCAGGTCATCTGCAGTCAACCCCATATAATTAACAGAGGTTATTTATTTCTGTAAATAAAGCTCTTGCTTTTGTAGGCCCATTATACCGTGCTCCCTTTTTCTTCTTTTCGTAAAAAGACCAATATGCCAGAAGACTAAATAGCTCCTTTGTTCCACTGATCCCCAAGTAACTCTGCAGATTTGTTTGTTTTCATGGATAGAGCATAGCGGCAGGGTAATGAGGTGGAGGAGGATGCCGCCTGAGGTTTAACTCAGCAGACCTACCAAGAGCAACTAATCCACTGCCAAAGCAGCTGCCCTAATTAATAAGCTTTGGAGTAAGGAGGGTTGATGAGCTGTGGAGCAGGAAGCAAAGTTCTTACATAAGTCACTATTTACAGGCCTTCTCTCACACGTTACAAGTGCTTCACTCGTGGAATGGGAAGGAGGGTTGGGCAAATAGAAACACTGAATTCTGTGGTAGGTAACACATGATAGGATCAAATGCAACAGGGTGGGTATATACACTGTGTTACACATCTACAAAAAAGCATCTGGCACTGTGAGCAAAGGTGGTGGTCCTAATGGGAATGGCAGTGGGCAAACAGTTCATCCAATCACTCACACTCCACTTAATTGCTTCCCTTTTGAATAACAGGATTTCTCATTCTCACTTTTCTTTTCCCATTTAAATTCCACTTTCCCACCCCTGCTCTCCTAAATACACACTAATAAACCAATCAGATATATTGTTATACACGTATGTGTTACTGAGCTACTGCAGACCTTGCACAGTTCTGAAGAATCACCCTTAAGGAAATTTATCACCGTTTCTTAAGAGCCCTGGATAAAAGATACAAACGTGCCACAGGAAAAAAAAAAATACACAACTAGGTTTTGTATTTTATCTGTTTCCCTACTAATTCTAGTTACGCACTGCACAGTATTAAAAATACAAATTGAGACTATAAACCGGAAAATCAGGATGAAAACGTAAACGTGAGAGGGTAACAGAGTTGAGCAGAACCACGAACAAGTGTAGAGGGACTCCTGTCTTTATAAAGAGAAGTTTTTAGTGCTAACACACCGCCTAACAGATTGAACTTCAGTCGCGTTCAAGAGCGAGTTTCCCCAGGAGAAAGAGAAACGAGGCGTTAGCAGGTTGAGTCAGGAGCCGACCCTGGCGAAGGCACAGCAGACCCCGTGGTGCCCGGGGCCGGTGCATCCGTGGAAACCCAGCCACAAACCGAAGCGCGAGAAGAGCCTTC